TTAATACGCCGCCTAGCTCACTGAATACGAATATAATAACAACATCGAATTCCAAACACATTACAATAACAGCTATTTAAATTATTACCAGTTTCTTCGTTCTGGTTAAATAAATGAACCATTAACGAATAACTGCTATTATCAGAAAATTTGTCTAGTCAATATCATGTTAAAATATTTAAACTATCTATTATTATTTTAAATATACCTACATCTTTGATGTACGTGTACGTATATAACAGAAGTTGCGAAAGTGATATGTTTGCAGGTCAATGTCCCCGAAGGTTATTGGTTCGCTATCGATTTTACGGTGGACACAAGCAATATTTCGAGGATTAAATTTGAATCAACGCTTTTGCTCGCGTACAGAAATCTTCAAAGTTTTTCTGCAAATAGAAAGAAAAAAAAAATGTCCTGAATCGTTTCAATTATCAAGTAAACTCTGAACGTTCTGCATGAAAAATTCACGCTCGTACGATAAAAGCAAATCTACGTCAAATGCTTTTGTCTCCCGTAAAACGCAATCGCTAACGAGAATTTATTTTCGTCCAGAAGTAATCCACGCGGATTAAATCGTTAGCACCGTATATTTACTGTAGGCAAATCATATATATATACTCGTAATTCGTTCCTTATTATTTTGAACGGTGTAAAAATTCTTTGTAGCGTAAAGAAAAATTCTTTTTATGGAAAAATATAACGCGGTGAAATGGATTAAAAATCATTCGCGGAAGTAATCCTTCGTTCGTTTATTCCTAGAACTAAACAGAATGTATTTCTATAATCTGCTTACGATGATATTCTAAACGTACAACAATAACGTGATCCATTTGACAATTAACAAAAGATATTACGCGAACATTCCATCGTGATATATGAAGCGACGATTGTACGAACGAAAAGACGAAAATCCTGTTTTATCCGGATCAAAACTCGAGCCAATTCCAGAGAAATTGTAGTCGATTATAGGAAATAAGGAGATTACCGTAATGTAGAACGATCACACTTCGAGTACTACGATTCTAGAAAATCTTGGTAAATGTTTATCAGGAACATTTCGCAGATATTCGTGTTCCAAGAAAGTATTTTTCAGCTCCAATAATTTCTGGATTACGTAGAGATTTTTCAGGAGAGGTAATTTTACAAGATGGCTATTTGAAGAAATAAATATATTCGAAGCTACAGCGAAAAGCTGAGAGAAGCTTTTCGAAAGTGCGACAGAAATATCAAGCAACGAGCTTGTTACACCAACAAAGGATGAAGAGCCGAGGAAGTAGCTCCTAAATCTCGACAAATTGGCAGAACAGCATGATACGGATAATAAAACGCTGGTTTATGGAAGGCGTTAGAACGTCTCGAGGAGAAAAATGACTAACAACGAGCGGTTAAAAACTACACGACGATGCTCAGCTTGCAGAAAACAAACCGTGCATCTGAAATTTGTTCCTCTGGTAAACGCACATCGAGATACCGTCTTCCATTAGCGATAGTAAAAACCATTGAACGAATGCGATGGGCTCTTTGTACACCAAAGCAAAGAACTTCTATGACTTACATTAGACCCTACAGTCTTTTTCTATTTTATATGAAAATCACTGAAATATCTTCGCATAGCCAATAGAAATCTTTTTGTTTCGAATCCTAAACTAGAATCGAAGTTTCGGTAAATTGTAAAATATTGTTGCTGACGAAGTGAAATGCATGTTTTTCATATATGCGAAGAGAAAAGAGAAACCACGGTGCTCCAGCCAAGTAGGCACAGAAAACCATAAAATATCGCAGTGTGAAACGTGCGTCTTTAGCGATTGCGTGACCCAGTTGGAGAAACGCGAAGGAAAAACAAGGTAGAGAAAGAATTCACGGGGAAAATTGAAGTTGCTACGTCGAAGTGAAAGGAACGAGAGGGGAAAAAATCCGTGCGCAAATTCAAAAGATATTTTTGTCGTTCGTGGCTGTTCAACGAGGTAGAGGATTTTCAATTGAAAATAGAGGATAAAGGAGATAAAACGAAAGGATAAAGCACATACGTCGTGGCTTCGCAAGAAGGTCGAAAGATATCGTCTTGGCAGAATCAGAAAGAAATTTGAAAAATGTTCGTTGCTGACTCGAAAAAATAATGTTAAAGATGACCAGAACGAGCGTATAAATTACAGCCTGTTGGCAAGGAACGAGCCAGGAGGGAGGAAAAAGGAGGAAAGGAAACAAAGAAACGACGGGGTAAAAGAGATAGAGGTGGAGGGTTGTAAAAAGGAACGCATACGAATCGAAGAACGAGGCTTAAATCGAAATCCTCGCTTTCATATTTCTTCATGAATTTATGGAGGACCGTGGAAAATTTGCTTTTATCCCACTGTCTCCCCCGTAACCGCTTCTTTCCCTGCTTACGCGTTACCCAACTGACGCGCCTTGGCTTTTCCTGTTTAAAACGCTGCATTTAACGAGATTCGTCTATTTCCCACCTCTTTTTCCCACGCTTTTCTTATTTCACTATCCAAATCAACAATTTCGGTCACTTTTTACTCGCTTACCCGGTGTATGCAAATAAACACGTATATCTTTCGTTCGATACGACAAAAACGGAGAAGCATAAATATTTCATCGATTCAAGGAATGAAATTCAAGGAAAGAAAGAGTAATCCCGGTAGATTTGCAGACTGTGAAAAAGATCGTCTAAGAAATCTGTCGAAGAAACGCACAATAGCGAATGAAAGTCAATATATAGCTAATATTGTTTTGATTTCGAGAAGAAAATAGGGTGACAATTTCTAGAGAATCTCAGATGTAACACAGTCGAAATTTTCCAAAATTGGTACAATCTCACGTTCTGGAATTGCGATCACCATCATCCGACTATGATGCAAGTCGCAACAAGCTTTTCAGAAACGTGGTCGAAGCTCGAACCGTTTGCGGTTCACCAGCCATCCAACGTGGTCCGAGAAAACAGCAGGCTCTAAGGTCGGTAGGAAGCAAAGGGACGGAGAAAGGGTGAGGGTTACATGCAATCTCACGGCTGATTGCGCAAGTTTTACAAGTTCATCCGATATCGCCCGGTCACAATACCATGCGAACGGACAGAGAAGCGGAAACTGCTGGTCCACCCGTTGTTCGTCCCTGTTCCATTCGACATCAGCAGAAGGAACAGGGGCAAACAGGAAACGGAAGAAAAACGGGGCCACCGAAACTGGGAAATCGATAGACGAAGCAGCTTCGTGGAGTTATCGTTATTGCACGGTGTACCGTGAAAATTTCGCTGGCCAACGCTCGTGCGGGCTCTGATCGACTGCCGAAAATTTCATTTCGATTTCCAGTTCGCCGGTAATCTTGTTTTTCGATGCACCTGAACGGAGAACTTTTTACGTTCTCGTCTAGCTTTACCGGTGCCTGTTAATTGACTCAGTTCTTTTATTTCATTCGTCTATGCGTTTTTCTTGAATTAATGGAAAACAAAAATATATTGAAAAGAAAAAAGACACTTTTTAAAATATTCATTCCGGTGGAATACTAACGAGCATTTAAATGGGGTTCCAACCACCTCCGCAACATAGTTAGTATGTAACATAGAAGTAGAGGAGAATACCGGAAGTTAAAGTCTCCGCTCGTACACGTGACCGTTGAAACGTGCCAACTCTATGTTTCTCAATTATTTCGAACAAGGAGTCGGTACACGTTCGAGGCACCACGTAAATGTTCCTGTTTCAAGGATCTATGTATACCCTTTGAGCTTTGTTTTTCGAATAGCAAAAAGGGGACTCGGTAGGTTTAAATTTTAAACTGAATTTAAACAAGTGACTTTCGTGTTGGCGAAACCCTGTATCAATTGCAATTCTACTCAGAAATCTTAGTACTTCAACACTGCTGCATAGTTATTCCTCTCCTTTGTCCCGGGATTTTGGTTGAGAGATTCAGAAAATTCAATGCCGCGAGAGTTTTCCGAGTCCGCGTTCCAAACTTTAAGCCCGTGGCATACGCGCGTTAAAAATTATAAGAGGAAACGTCGGTGAAGAGGACACGCTCCATGGGAATAATACCGAGGAATATTCTGCTCGCGTGCTGGAAAAAATTAAGGTAACGACCGAACAAGGGATCAGAGAGCAGAAATATCCATAGATCCGGCCGGGAAACTGAAAAGTTTGCGGTATTACGATAGGAAAGTTTCCTTCCTTGGCCTCGTCGTCTTTTAAGCGTCAGCTGTTTCACGATCCCATCGCGACCGAGTATCGTACGCTTCGGGGCAACGTTATAAAGGCTTGGTGTACATTAAAAATCCTCGTTGCGAAACGCTGCGACTCGTCCTAATACGGGCGAGCAAATAGAAGTTATTGAAAAGTTGAACAGAAAGTGATTGCGAAGGGAACTAAGAGTGGAAAATACGCTGCGAATCCGTTGAACAACCGCTTACGGTAATTTCCGGCTTAGTCTCGACAAACTGTCACGAGCGAAGCGGAGAATACGGCAAGTCGAAAAGCAGGAAGGAAGGAAGGCAAGCCTGGACACGACAGGACGTCGATTATTCCGCACACGCGTCCGCAAAAATTGAAAATCTTTTAATCCAAGAGAAAGAGGGAGATATCGTGGAACGTTGAAATGCAGCGAAAACCGTTCCTTCTCTTTCTTCTTTTTCATTTCACAAATTGAGATACCGTTCCACTATCTTCCTGCTAAACCATGATCACGAACACGCTCGTCTTGGACGTGAAATCGTCGAATCCGCTCGATGCAGACACGAAAATTGGCGAAAGTTTACTGTTTGAACGATACAACCGAGGTTGCTGACCTCTTTCCTTATAACAGTGATGGAGAAATCTTGTTACGATAAGAACCACGTGCCATTTATTCGAAATAGAAAATCTTCAAAAGTAAAATGTTCAATGGCTTGTCCACTATGAGTTAAACTAGTACACAGAGCAATTAAACAGCGTTATTCTATACAATTTTGCGTAGAATCGAATCAAAGCACGAGAGCGAACGGATGAAACTATTCAGAGAGCTGTTACCATTCAATTAACTATTTCACTATACAGCTGTCCATCAAAATGCAGATGCACTTTCTTTCTTGAAATAAAATCTCTATTGTAAAATACGCTATTATAATAGAGAACTTTGTTTTTTAATAACTTCGTCTATAATCTTACACGCCTCCGCGAATATTTCCTCCGGGCTCGTTTCCGCGTCGATAACCTTTGTCACCGATTTGTTCGGCGCGATGGCACGCGAAATTTTCGTGTAATACATTTTTACGCGACACAAAATAGCTTCTGGAGTATCGTCGAATCTATACACGACCTCGGCACGTCGAGTCATTCTTTCTTGAAGGATCAATCTTCTCGCGAACAAGTTTAACACCAACGTTGGTTGTCTCACTTCTCTGTTAAACATAATTGCCTGTTGATCGATTAATTCGTTATTTCGTCGAAGTTTCATTTAAATTGCGAGTCATTAAATTTACAAACTTTTCTATCAAATTAATCCAGCAGTAGATTGGCAAATGATCACCTGCATTTTGTCCCTAGGGAATCCAATGATCAGGTAACCGTATGCGTTCGGTTCCCTCAGCATTTCTCCTATTACCAATTGAACGATTATATCAGCGGGCACGTTGAAACCTTTCTTCATTATCTGTTCGAAGCAACGACCTCATTCAGAACCGTTGGGAACTTCTTCCCGCAGTATTCGCGACACGGATATTAAAAACAGTCCGTACTTTGGAGCCAATTTTTTGCACAAAGTAGTTTTCCCAACTCCAGGACCACCCAACACGAAGATCATCAACGCTTGACTGTCTTTTAGGGGCGTCGCGTCCACTGATTCGTACCTCGGTATCGTATCCCTTTCGCTTGTATCGAAACAATTACCCATTTTCACGAATTCTTTCTTACTTCTCGGTTGAAATGGTTTGCACAGTTCGACTGGCATCGGTTAAATGTTGCAGAACAAGGATCTTCTTCCTTTTATCGAAACTTTTCCCGACCGTTTGATCCTCCTTACGGAATTCCTTCACGATTCGACAAGTCCTTTTGGTGAACGCGATCGATAACATCAGGCTTTAAAACTACAGACGAATCGACGATAAGAACGAAAGAAATCATTGTATTTTTTTTGTAATGTATTCTAGGCATGATAGAGATTCGTGAGATATATTTAGTGTAAAGGAGATAGAAGGCGTAGACATTGAATTGCGTTGAATTAAATAATATAAGCAAGATTCTTCTCTTTGAGGCACGGTATATCCAAGCTTTCAGCTTCAATTTCCTTCGCCCCTGCTTTACATCCGAGAATCTTCCAAGTATACGCAATCCTTCTTCGCGAAATCTTCTATAACTTGGTTATGCTCTAGTCACGACCACTTTAATATATTGTCTTCTGAATTCTTTACCGACAACTTCAGTTGCAGATGTTCCAGTTGAGTTACATTTTTTTATCTGGCCTTTTGTATCCGGATGACCGCCAGCAAGGAAATAAATAATTCTTTCCTCTGTCGCCTTGAATAAACGTATCCTGTCGTTCTGAATTATTCTTCTGCTTGAAATTGAACTCTGCATCGATAGCCACAAATCGTTTCTTTTCGATACGCGAAATTCCATTGAAAACTTCGTTTGGAAACGCACTTCAGATACCGAATGAAACCGTGACCCTACGAGTCTTACAAAATGTGACTCGAAGTTAATAAATTATATTTATTACAACTGAAAAGCTCGACACGAACGACATTTTTATTCATTCTTCAAGATTAAAATTGTAAGAAACCTTCGAAATTGATATAAGAATTAATTAAACGAAGAACGCGATGCACTCAAAGGATTCTATTGTCAAGATGAAAATATTCAAAGCATTTTAATGAAATACGTTCTTTAGCGTCCTGCAATTTCCAATTACACAAAACTTGTGTTCTAACGCGGAATAAGAAATATTATCCTGTAGAATGCTTAAACAGCTTCGTCGATCGAGTTACGTCTTCAATATCGCTCGAGGAGCAAGGGTGAGTACGAATTGCAAAATACAGGGATTCTAGCATCGCTGGATCGAAAATAAGCGATGCTTTCGTAAAGATCCCGGCTACGGCTATAATCCAAAATTTTCTTGACGAAGGTGAGCTTTAACTTTGTACGAAACAAAAGCTCCGAGGATCTGAGACAAACTTTGGCCAAGGCATACGGCTATATCCATCGTAGAACAAAAATGGACATCCAGGAGAAGATGAGAGAACTCGGCGACCTGTTTTCGAAAACTGGGAAAGAACTAAGCGATATTGTGAAGCAAAACGAACAATTCATAACGGAGGAGATACGAAAAGCTGAGGAAACTCTTCGAAAGGCTTCCGAGGTATTTGAAAGTTTTACAAAAAAAAAAAGAAAAAAAAATAAGTTTGCGATTGATCGATCTTCAAACGTAATTAATTTCCTGACAGGTATGCGCAGGAAAGCACATGGACCGTCTGAAAGTCGTGAAAGAGACGTACGCGAATAGAATAAAAGTTTGTAACGATAAGGCAGCGCTGGGGATGCACGCTGCGAGAATGAAATACGAAGGACAGATCGAAAAGACGGAGGTACTTCGAAATTCGATGAAACGAATCCTAAAGGAATGCTTAGACACGGATGAATTTGTCAAGTGCATCGCCAACAAAACTAAGGAGACCGCCAGGCAACGGAAAGAAATCGGGGAGAAGTTGAACGAGACGATGGTAAACGCGAGGATCTCGATCGCTGATCAACTGAGGGACGCGATGAAATGCCACGCGGATGCTCAAGCGGAATCTCTTAAGAGTCTGGGAGAAATTTTAAAGGACATCAAAGAATGTGTCGTGCAAACTCAACAATGACATTAAATGTACTACTAATTTAAATTTGGAAAATTATATAAACAGTAAATTCCAAGGATTTTTGAATCTGCTTCCTCTCAAAATCATAGCCTGTATCTAACAATTTTTCCCACAAACTATACCGGCTATCACGGACGTTAATTACCAGCCGATCGATCATCTCGATCAAATATTCAAACGTTCTACAAAGGGAGCGCGTGACATGATGGCGGAAGTTCACGGGTCAGCGAAGCGAAGAACAGGGGTAAACCGTGAAAGATAGTCGGCGGTAATGCACGCGACACGAGAGAGCAATTAACGTAACAAACGACTTGATTCTAGCCTGACAGGTGTGTCTAGTGACAGTCGAGCATGTCGTCCTGGATGTCCTGCTCGAGCATTACCAGCAACCGTTTCCACGACTCCAGACGCTTGACCTGACCTGGACAAGCGACGATTAAACGAACTGTTTACATGGTCGACCTGAAAGCTCGTTAACCGCTTAAGAATTCTTTCCATCAAACGATTCTAGTTACTTTTAGCGAAAGGGTTAATCGTCGACTACGACAGATTAATCCGCCCTTTGACCGATGGACAGTGGGTGGCGATACGATTTGAAGGTTTTTCATGATCGTACGACAAATGAATAAGCCACCGTGCGAGGTTTTGCATATTCACGCGGCATTTTCAAGCACCGCCGGTAATATATCTTGTTAGAGCCTGCTACCGGCTGGATTTATGACAGGGTCACGAATCATCTGGCCGCTTTTCGAACCATAGAAAAGGATTTTCACCCAGAATTTATATTCGCGGCAGTTTGAGAGGTCTGCATCTGTCTGTCCTTGGTGACAAATCAACTTTCAGGGAAATAGGATCGAAATTACAGCGGTTTCACGGAGAGATGCGGTGGGTATTAGAATGGGATACGAACTTGAAATATCGTTTTTATATTACTCCATAATTCCTGCGCGAACCATGACAATCGAAAGCATCACAAGCTAATTACGAATTCATAAGTAGATTACTCTGTTCATCCCGTGGGTTTAATCGTGGATTCGCTATTGCAAAGAAAATCATATTACTGTGAATTTATGGCATGGAATTCGAATATGTTCCTCCCATGGTAATGGAAGACCGCGAAAGAGGCATAATTTTGTTTCCAATCAAACTCGAGGTCGATCGACAATGAATTTAAAGCGAACTCGACAGAGTGGAAACACTGATCAATAACGAAGAAATTTTTTTTAATTATTTGAAATTGGGAAGAACGCGATATTAATCTGTGCTTCGCTATCCAACCAAGTTGCCAGCAGAGTCATTTGCGCGTACACGCGATAACGATAACAATGTTCGAGGCTTCGTTGTCGCGTAAATGCCTCGCACAGCTTGCGAACAGCATGGTTTACGGAACAATACGAGTTCGTTTCGAGGGTGTATCGAACAAAGCATCCGTGTGACCTCGTTCTTTTTCAGTCGTACCGCGATCGTCGATGCCGCGATTCCAGTTAGATTCAAGCGTCAAGAACGACGAACCCTCCGTTAATTCAGCCGATTAACATTTTTCGTAGAAATCGATGGAAAATACAAGAGGAACAATAGCCAGAGGGCAGTGGTGCGTGTCGATATTTTTCAGAGTGATTCACTGGACAGAATTAACCGGATCATAAAAGGTCTTTCACTCGGCTAGTGTAAATGAATATTAATCATCGACGGTGTTGCACGCTGGAGAGGAAAACAAAGGAGTGGCGGCTACGTCGTGAATGCATAATTATCGATTAACCCGGACCCGATAACTCTGACGAAATCAGGAAGCGATTATTAATTTCTAAGTTCATCATTATCTTTTCAATATCTTCCGAATATCAGTGGATAAATGAATTTTTTCGAATGATTCGAAGCGCGCTAAAAGAGGAGCAGAATGCGCTGAAAGGATAACACTGCGAAATATTTAATTGATTTAGGCGTGGGAAGGCAGCCGAGGACTTTGCCGCAAGACGACTAGAATGCGACCACCGATTGGAATTCCGAGAACACCTAGCGAGATCGCTTGCGGTCTCGGGGAATCGTTCGAAGGATATCGGCATTCGGCCACACCTGCCACGAAAGGCTCGACTGCTTCTCGAAATGAGCAAACTTCTGATACCCTCGATCTTCCGCTACCGTTCAAAACTTGCCCGTAATTTCAATCGAACCGCCCTAATAATCTGTGTGTTATTAAAAAAAAAAATTCGATGCCCAATCTTGAAGATCACATCCACGATTTCAGAAGCGAGTCTTTTAATTTAACAGTGAAAAGGAAGGATGCGACGATCAGTATTTGAATTTTCCAACAAAGGAACTGGAAAGGATCGAGAAAGAGGCTGAGATTTGCGGGTGTCGCGCCTACAAGCGCGGCGAACCATTTAAATAAGTGGCACACCCCGACGTTAATAATAGCCGGGCGAATTACAGTGGCAGCATCGACGCCTCTTTGCCGCCGCTCTTTCCCAACCTCCGACCAGGACTTTCAATTAGCTCCTCAACCCCGTTCCCAGGTTTCTCTGGCCTCTTTTAGTCACTGCTGACTCTTCCCTCTAGTTCTTCCAACTCCTCGACGCCACGACGGTAATCGGTGCACAGGAAAAGTCATTACAAACGTCTGCTAGCCACCGTCCAACCAGCTGCAATTTACCAGCCCGGTTCCTCCGAGCTCGTTCTGCTCTCGAAATATTAATAATCGTTCGACCCGGATAAGGAATAAAATTCTGCGATCGAGAACGTTCCGCAGCGAACAAGAACTTTCGTGCTCTAGTCTGTTCCAATTGTCACAAGGATATCGTACTCCTTGCATGCATTCGTTTAGGCAATTAAGACAGGTCGGAGAGACGTTTAATTTCCACCGTTGTCGTGCAAACATAATAATCACAATAATTGTTTGCTACACGTTCCAGTTTCAGTTTCCCTTCTGATTCTGCAAACACTTCTGATTATTTGCCTTGCACACGGAACACGCCTGCGATTCGATATCTAAACTTTCAACCTCTTGACAATCGTGCAGCTAAATTTCTATCTGTAGAATAATACAGACTGATTTATACTAACGAGTCAGTTACATTCAGACGAGGACGCTCGTTAAGAGATTTCGAAAAAGTGGAACTGTCGATACCGAAAATTGAACCCAGATCGTATCGTATAAATCAATGGATATTCCTGCGGTTTCAAGATTTCAACGGCAGCGTAGCAATAAATATTGCAAAAAATAGTTGGCTATTATTGGAAAATTTCTCAATTTTTCTTTTTCGATCGGAACGTTTTGTGTTCGATCGGCAGGGATGTCCGACCGCATCATCGATCTCCATCAAAATCGCATCGAGCCGGTGATTTTCGCGAATAGCCGGTGTTAGTGTACGCGGGTAGATTGGTCGAACACGGGCAGCCGACAATAGATGCAACGGTTGGCAGGTGCAACGATGTGTCGGTTGCAGTCGGTTGCGAGTACAGGCCATGCTCGATCATTCTCTCTCGTCTCAAGCTACGTATACGCATTGCTGCTAGTCGATATTCCCTGTCTCGTGCCGATTGGCCGCATAATCAGTAATTGCCACCATTCCCGCAAACTATCGTCCACAAACATTCCTTATAGCATTACGAGCCTGTGACAAGCGGACCGATTGTTGGCCACGGTTCTACGCAAATTTCCGGCTAACTCGTATGACCTTGCCCAATTTGACCAGCTAATTACGACCCTACAATCGTGGATCGTTCGAAGCTTTCCAAGTAAAAGAGAATTCCGAAATTCCGATCAAATAAATTTGTAAATCGAAGACCATGACACGAACGGTCACTGGCTTACAGTTTATTAGCTCGTTACAGACTTCTTTCCCTAACGTACTTCTCGTCTTGGAAGTTTTTTAGATACCCCATTAACGAGTTCCTTTACCTACCGATCCTTAGTCCCTCTTAGCCGGTGGAATTCGTGGGAATTTCATTTCCTTCGAGTGCAAGTTTTAAGAGTCTCCGGCTTAGAGACGAAAAAGGGATACCCCTCGAGCTTCAGAACTTTATTAATATCCTACAAGTTTGTGCGTCTGAACCAGGCTAAAAACGGAAGTTACGCGAAGAAAAAGACCTACCATCGAACCACTCCGCGTTTAATCCAACGCGTGACTACGTTTTCCGATCGATTTCTTAACATTCTCGATTCTTGTTCCACGTTTCACTGCTACATTTTGCGTCCAGAGAAACTTGGAACACTAATCGTAATGTTTCGTACTTTTGTAAATTTTATCGTTTCCTGTTGTAACGTTTCTGGGAATATTCGATTAAGAAAATGAAATTAAGATTGAAGTAAGTTAACTAGATATTGGTGCAAAGGAACTTACTTAAATGTTCCAGCAACGCGATACAGGGTCGTGGAAGTACAACAAACAGTCGTTAAATTTTCGTTTGATTTATAGGAAGTGAATATTCATGATGCACGAATTTGATAATTTTCGTCATTGCAGCTCTATCAGTCCATGCCACCGATATTCGAGAGATATATTACAAATATCGACGTTATCTGGTCATTGAACGACACAACAACGCGTATCGCTGCTACCATTCTCCTATCTCTGAAAATAAATGGACTCCTCATAATTCTTATGCATTATTTTTCAATTTGACAATACTTCCTGATCTCTTTATGTCACCGAGGACTTTCAAACGAACGCAAACATTATTCTTATAATTAAGGATTAAGATTTAATTTAATGACTCCTCCTTTCGCGTTCATTGGGAGCAACGCTACTTAACGGAAATATGATACGGAAATTATAAAGAATCTCGGGCAAAGAAGAACTATAAGGATCCGCAACCACTCGAAAGGAAAGTCAATCAAGAATCAAAGGAGCGAAAAATTGAGGAAACTAAGAAGACCCGCTCGTCTTTCTCTACCAAACAATTTATCTTCGTCCCTTCATTTTTTTCTCACGACGAGAAACTTTTCGTCAAGTGTAAACGACTCATGAACCGCTCGACATTGTTTTGCAAGCCAGCCATCTTAGCCAGGCCAAGGT